CTCAGCTCCAGCTTTGGGGGCTCAGCTGCAAGGGCTTGGGGCTCAGAGACATCTGAGAGCAGCCCCAGCTCTGTGGTTTCGTTTTCTTCACTGCTGCCTGCTAAAATGCAGAAGTTTTGCTGGTGGGAAAGCAGCCGTGACTGAGTGGTGAGAGCACAAACGCAGACGCTGAGGCGGCTGAAAACTGGCAGCAGGGGGATTTAATTTTTTTTTTTTTTGGACTTTTTTTCTAGTTTGCTTCTTGCTGGTGGTTTTTGGGGGATTTTTTCCTCCTTTTGCTGTCCTTTAGGTGCACTAACGCATTGGTTCTGGGCTCCCCAGTGCCGAGGTGAGACTACAGGGAAAGCAGGTTGGTGACAGTCCTGGCTTACACACGGGAGCATCCCTGTGGCCGGCGGTGAGAGCAGCGCGGGGTCAGCTTATCGTGCAGCCTCCCTTCTCCTTAAAGGGGTTCTTGTCCTCGGGGACTCCTTTCAGCAGCGGGTCCTCACCCGCCATGGACTCGATGTACTCCTTGATCTCTTTGCCAGTCTTGGAGATCTGCCGAGGAAGGAGACAGAGTGTGTTTGGGATGGAATCCTCACTGTGGAGCTGTGCTCCTGCTCCTCGGCTGCTGACAAAGTCGTTGGTGCAGTGGGGGGAAGGGAAATGTGGCTGTGAACATCCCACCTGGTTTGGGGGATTTCTGAGAGCATCCCCAAGTGCTATGGATGTCTCACCAGGAGCAATGGGAGAAGGGAACTGTAGCCATGAACATCCCACCTGGTATGGGGTATCCACAAAAGCATCCCCAGGTGCTATGGACACCTCACCAGGAGTAGTGAGAGAAGAGAACTGCAGCTATGAACATCCCACCTGGTATGGGGTATCCACAAAAGCATCCCCAGGTGCTATGGACACCTCACCAGGAGTAGTGAGAGAAGAGAACTGCAGCTATGAACATCCCACCTGGTTTGGGAGATTCCTGAGAGCATCCCCAGGTGCTATGGATATCTCACCAGGAGCAGTGAGAGAAGGGAATTTTTGCCATGAACATCCCACCTGGTATCCCCAAAAACATCCCCAGGTGCTGTGGATACTTCACCAGGAGCACTGGGAGAAGGGAATTGTAGCTATGAACATCCCATCTGGTATCCCCAAAAACATCCTCAGGTGCTATGGATACTTCACCAGGAGCAGTGGGAGAAGGGAATTGTAGCCATGAACATCCCACCTGGTATCCCCAAAAACATCCTCAAGTGCTATGGATACTTCACCAGGAGCAGTGGGAGAAGGGAATTTTAGCCATGAACATCCCACCCAGCATAGGGTGTCCCCAAAAGCATCCCCAGATGCCATGGACACCACACTGGTGTAGGACTGCAGCCCCTGAGCTCTGGGAATTGAGGCTAAGCCCAAGGGGAATGTTTGCCTGGAGGGAAGAGGCACAAGTTCACCTGTGTCTGAAAGTTAATTCCAGAGCTTGTGGTTCTTTCCCTTTGCAGCAGGTCAGTAAGTTACCCCAGGGAACGAGCCCTTTGCATTTTGGAGGAGAAACTCACCATTTGCCTCTCATTCTTCACCTCTTTCTTTAGCTGATCCAGCTCCATCTTCAGCAGCTCCTTCTCTGTCATGTCCTGAGCCATTTTGCCCTAGAACTGCAGGGAAATGCCTCGTTATTAGGGTTATTTCTTTGTCCCCAGGAGCAGTGCAAACACCCCTGAGGAAACTGCCCCGTGGTGAAGGACAGGCTGATGCTAACAGAAACCGAGGCAGGAGGCACCTCTCAACCTCCTTCCTGTGACATCTGGTGTGCCCAGATTTCTGTTTGCTCCTTCTCAGCAGGCACATGGAGTGACAGATGCAGTCTGAGGGCAGCAGAGGAGGATCCAGCCTGGTTTTCAAAGAGTTCTTTGCCACCACTGAAGCTGTTTCCTCAAGAAATGAGGTGATGGGTGAGTGGAACCAGCTGAGCCTGGACAGGAGCTGCTTCCTCAGGACATGGATGCCCAGGGCTGCAACCTGCACCTTTCTGATCCATGTCCTGTGCCTGGGCAAGAGCTTCTTCACAGTTTTTCTAAGGAACTAAATACATTTTATCTTTTATTTCCTTCTTACCCCTCCTTGTGCCTTTCCCCCAGGTATTCATAGCATGGATTATGCCTCTTCCATTGCTCTGAACTCAACTATTTCCATGCAGAGGAATTGCTGAAAGATTTTTTGAGGCTGTGTGGGTTGGAAAAGTCCAACTCTTCTTTCACAAAAGCTGATCCAAGATGACCTGCACTGCTGAGATCTATTCCCAGGTCAAAACTTGGGTTTAAAAGAAGCTTTTAAATCAAGAAAGTCAAGGTGCTGAAGCTGAACTGTGCCAGAGCCTATTGTGCAGCTGCTCCCATGGCATGTGTGGCCTGTGCTCCTCTCCTCATCCATCCCTCAGGACACAGCTCTGGGAGATGCTTGTGGCAGAATGTGAAGAGCCAAAAGTGCAACCAACCCAGAGAGAAAGTGGCTCCCAAACCTGGTGGACCCCATGAAGCACCTGCAGGCAGCAAAGCCACTTACCTGTGGGGGCAGAGGGGCTGCCCCTCTCCAAGGTGGAGACGCTCAGAGCCCCATCCGAGGGGAGATGCTCCTGATGCTCCTGACACTCCTGCTCAGAGCTTGAAGACTCCTTCAGCTCTCCTGGAGGGCAGTGGGAAGCAGATGTCTTTGGTCCTTAAGCTGATAATGGACTCAGGAGAATAAGCTGGTCAGGTGTTGGGAATTAGCCTCAAAGTCCAGGGTAATCGGTGCTGGGGCTGTGGGGAGGGTGAGGATGGGGAGGAAGAGTGGGTGGGGGACTGGCTGGGACACTTGGCAAGTCCTTGAGCACTTGCCATGGGTGTCAGAGCCTGTGGGGTGACCAGATTCTGTCCTGAGGGAGTGGGACTGAGCCCTGTGGGGATCAGAGCAGCTTCCACCCAGTTTGGGAAGGGAACTGGGAGCAGCTCGGGAGGCTCTCAGTCCCTCAGGGTGTGAGGAGCTGGGCCAGTGCCGGAGGAAATCCATCACTTCCCTTGTCCTTGTGCCGGTGGGGCCGAGGGCTCAGGAAGAACCAAGCCCTAAAGTGGGATTTCTCCTCTCTGGCTGCTGCAAAGTCACTGGGGCTTGAGGACAGAGCCTGAGAGGCCCCAGGGAAGCACCTGTGCTCTGGGATGAGGAGGAGGAGGAGGAAAAAAAGAGGAGGAAGAGCAGGAGGAAGAGGAGGAGGAGGAGAGGGTGGAAGGGGATTTCCAAGCATCGAGCTAGTGGGAATTTCCTGCCCTCAGCCATGGGGATGTGAAACGTCCTGAGCAAAGCACAGAGAAGGACACAGTGTCCTGGGCGAGGGAAGGACAAGCACTTGGTGGGGTCACTTGGCACATCCCTCTCTGTGGGATGGCAATGCTGCCTGGGATGCACAGGAACCATGGGATTTTTCCAGGGAGGAGCTCCTGGCAGTGGAATTGCTGCTCTTGGTTGCCAGGATGACAAAGGGAATTGCTCTCTCTGGATGCACCTGAGCTTGGCTCAGCCTCACACCCACCGTGAGGGCAGCAGTGGCTGATGGAGAGTGGGCAGAGATGGGGGTCAGGGCTCATTTTCAATCCCTCCCCCCAACTTTACTCCAGTTCTTCCGTGACTCACATCCTTCTCCATCACGGCCACTCTTCCCGCGCTCCCACAACCAGGAGCTGCTCCCAACCCATCCCTCATGTGCTTGAGGCCAGGCTGGTTTCCTTCCCATTCTCCTCCTCCTGCTGGCTCCCCACTTTTCCTTCCCAGGGCTGGCTCCAGGCCGTGGGGATGTCCCTCGGGGGGACGGGGACACCGCGGCGCCCGCGGCCTCTGCGTCAGCTCCTCCGCCAGCTTCAAAACGCCGCGGCGAGGCGGGTGGGGAGGAAGTGGGAGCTGAGCACAGAACAGCACCATGTCAGAGCTGGAGCAGCTGCAGCAGCATCACATCCCCGAGGGTCGACAGGTCCTACGTGACCACCACGGCAACCTGCACAGGGTCGCTGACTACTGCGAGAGCAACTACCTGCAGGTCAGGGTGGGGGAGACAGGGCCATGGCAGGGGATGCTGGGGACAGCCCTGGTGGGATAGTGGTCCTGGAGGTAGGAGATGGTGAAGGTTTTGCCCTTGGAAATGGAGGGCTGAGCATCCTTGTTAGCATCCAACTGGGTATTGCATGTCGCTGTTGCGTTTTCCTCGTGCCTTGGTTTCCCTTCTTGCTCCACAGTTCTCAGGGTGGGTTTGGGATGAGAGTTCTCTGAGGGTTTGGTGCTTCTGGAGAAGTCCTGTAAGGGGATGAGGGATGTCAACCCCACTGGGCTGTCTCCAGGGTTTTGGAGGTGCCTCCTGGTAAGGATGAGATGAGCTGGGTGTCTGCACATGCAGAGCTCTGCTGCCATCAGCATCCCTCCTCCTCCTCCTCCTCCTCCTCCTCCTCCTCCTCCTCTTCCTCTTCCCTGCCTGGCCCCCACTGAGGGAAGGAGGGCAGGAGATTTGGGATGAAATAAGAGGGAAAAGGTAATTCCTGCCCCGTTTACTGAGGAGGGTGTCTTGGCTGGGGGGGGCCAAGGCTGTGTCAGTGACACTGCAGGCTCAAGCCAGACCCCAAGGGGTTGGACCCATTGGAGCAGAACCAAAGGGGAAACATGCTGAACTATTTAGAGAACTGAGACACTGTCCCCAGCACAGCTGGTGGCCTGGCCAGGTGTCCCAACAGAGCTGTCTGGTGGCATGGCCATCTGTCTCCAGGGGTGACAGGAGGCTGAGCAGGACCCTCAGCTCCATCACCTGCTGAAGCATCATCATCATCTTCCCAGGGAGGAATCACAGTGAATCCTTGGTGCTGGAATAGCCAAGCACTGCTGCCTGCTGGCTGCCTGTGTGTCCTGCTGGCAGAGCCAGAGGAAGTTTGATGCATTTGGAAAGCAGAAGGAAACATCTCTGCTGCCGTGTGACCACAGCATGGGGGGCAGTGGTGGCTGTTTGGAGTGGGCTCATCCCACCCCTTGGGTTTCCCTTCCAGGCCAGTGACAAGCGAAAGGCTCTGGAGGAGACGATGGCTCTGAGCACACAGTCCCTGGCCAGTGTCACCTACCAGGTCAGCAGCTTGGCCACTGCCTTCCTGAGGCTGCTGGACCTGCAGGCAGCACAGCTGAGCAAGGTGGAGGCCGATGTCGCCTGCGTGGCCCAGGTGGGACCATCTTCCAACTGCTTCTGGCACGTGGTGGGATTTGGGAAGGGCTCTGGGAAAGGAGATTTGAGCAGCTCAAAGGGGTTGAAGACTCTCCATCCCTGCAGCTTCAGAAACCTGTCATTCCCCACCCCCCATAGCATCACTGTGCAGTGGCAATGCAAAACCATTTCCCTGGGGGGTGGTGGTGGTGGTCAGTCAACACATCAAGGAGGGATGAGTCCATCTGGGGCTAAGAATCTGGTCTCTGGGGTGTTTTCCCAGTACACACACTTGTAAATCCCAGTGGAAGGACTGTGGAACCTGCCCAGGAAATCTCAGAGGAGCCAAAGTGGAGTGATGAGGGTCAGAGGGTTGTTCTGGCTGCCACACTTTCCCCTTGCTGGGACTTGGCCTCATCCTTCCAGAGCTTAGGGACAGTGATGCAGAGTCCCGTGGCCACCCACCCTCTTCCTGGCACTTGGAAGCCACTTGGAGCCTTTCCAGCCACGGGAGGAGACAGGACCCTGTGGAAGCAGCAGGAAAACAGCTTATGGAGTGGCTGAGACTCACACCTCCCCTCCTCCCCCTCTGTCCCCCTGTTCCCTGCTTTAGGAAGGGCCAAATCCGCTGTGGTGGCACCAAGGGCATCACTGCTGTGGTGGAACAGAGCAGGATCTGCCCCTTTGGCTTGGACTGGGCCAGGGAGGCAGGGCTGGGAAGGGTGGTGGGACTTGGAGGGGAGAGCAGGAGGTGGGAAGAACCAGGGATGGGACAGTGGGGACAGTGTCACCTCCACAGATGGTTGACATCCACAAGGAGAAGGTGTCCCGCCGGGAGATCGGCTCCTTGACCATCAGCAAGAAGTTCCCATCCTACCAGAAGGTTGTGCCCCCTCCCAACCCTCCTGACCTGGAGCCCTACTACAGGAAACCTCTCAACTTCAGCGTCCTGGATGACATTGGCCATGGCATAAAGGTGAGCCCAGGGCAGGAGGGTGTCCCACAGTAGGGAAGGGGCTTTGGGTGGACTTCCTTGGTCCCTGATGTCCTGCTCAAACCCTTCCTCAGTGGCCAAGTGGGGTCTGTCCATGCCCTGCAGCTCAGTCTGGGACTCATCCTGCTGGGACTCAGTGTTCCCAGCCCAGGGAGAGCGACACAGCCCAATACACAGAGGGAAACTGAGGCACAGACCACTCAGCAAAGACCTCCCATGCTACTGGGGCTGGTGTTGAGCCACAACCTCCCACCCCCATGTGGCCTTTTCCAGCTCCAGAAGGTGACCACAGAGAATTTCCATGTCCAGAAGGGGACCACAGAGAAGGTGTTCAGCAGCCTTGCACCCCCATGGAGCTCCAGAAAGCTTCTACAGGAGATAGTTCAGCAGCTTTGTACCCCCATAGAGCCTTTCCCAGCTCCAGAAGGTGCTCATGGGAGAGGGTTGAACACCTCTCACCCCTCCCAGAGCCTTTCCCACCTCTGAAAGTCTTCCACAGGAGAAGGTTCAGACGCTTTGCAC